TGTGCTACATTTGAGAGAAATTTCTTATTTGCATTTTTGTGATAAAAAAGACGAAAATTTCCTAAATAGGGAAATTTCCTTTAAGAGCTTGTATATTTGTATTAATTTTATGTATCCAACAGAATTCAATAGTTTTATAGGTATATTTTGCGTTTCTATTTAATATTACTTAATATGTATACTAAGTGTTTGGATTAATGCATAATTAAGTAACATCTAAAGTTATATTGGTCATTTCCACTTGTTAGTTATCTAATTAAATTAATTGATGGATTTATTAAAATAAAATAAATTTGGACTAAAGTTTTATTAAATAAAATGAAGACAAAGGATTAACGACGGATATATAAGACAGGGTTAGTTAATTAATTTTGAAACCGGCATTGATTTTGCTACCCCATATTATTTCAATTTCGTATGAAAAAATAGAATAATTAGAACTAAATAAAATTTCTTAATAACTAAAATTCAATTTGATTTTTATATTTTTTACTTATCAATATAAAAAGGGATAAATATATTCTTTAGCTTTGTGATTTAGACGGGATATACTCCTCTTTAGAAAAAATAATACGTGCATATATATTTTTATCGTCCAACAAATGATACATATATATATATCGTCATTCAACAAATAATAATGTATATTTATTCTTTTCGTTAACATACAAAGTTTTAAAAATAATAATTCTAAAATTGATTTTTTAATTGAAAAATGTCACTTGGGTTTCAAAATTATCTCACGCATTTTTTTACCCCTATAAACCCAACCCAACTAAAAAAAATCAATTCCTCTTCTATTTGTATTTTTTTTTATTTCACATTCAGTGTTCGATATTCATATTAGAGTCTGACTAAATTTGAATTCGCGTCGAGAAGTTTCACATTGAGGGATAAGCACTTCCTAACAAAGGCGACTCATTATCCAAAAGAACTCGAACCAGAAACATTTTAATCGAGGATAAAGAACTCGAATCAGAGACATTTTTTAATAGATTTGTTAAAAAAAATATGCACTATTTATTAGATAATGAAAATATATATGCACTAACTTTTAACAAATACTATAGTCACTCTAAATTTTATAAACTTTAGGTTTGCTTTTATAAATTTCATATTCCTTATATCACCATCTATGTTTTCTCAAACCTCCAATGGTCATTTGTAAGATTTTAATTAATATAAAATATGAGAAGTATTAAAATAACATAAGTTAGGGCCATAATGGAGAAAAAAATTATGGTAAAAGAAAGCAGGGTATAACCACTACAAAAATTATATTCCCAGTTTCACAAAGAATGATCTAGTTTGATTTGACACGGAGTTTAAGAAAATAAAGAAAATTCTTAATTATGTGATCCTAAATTCAAGTTATGTCAAATATATAAAATTGTTCTTTAATCTCGTGGCTTTAAACATGCCACTGGGGAAGTTGTTATCAAAAAAAGAAATATGTCATTCTTTTTTAAACAGACTAAAAAAAGAAAGAAGGTCATTTTTTTTAAAACGAATGCGATATATATTTAAACGACTAACTACTAAAGATATTATTAATATATTGCTAAATAGTTTATTATTATAAAAAAATTTAAATAATTTCTTTTACTTTACTATTTCTTATAATAAGAAATTAAATGTTTCTTATCAATGTTATACGAAAGTTGAGAATCTTAGTTGGAGTACATGTATTTGAAATGGGCTCCATTATTATATGGAAAAAAAAACATTTTGAGTGAGTTTTATGATAAGTAGAATATGAGGTCATAAATCTTTTCGAATATCGTAGATATTTATTGCTTCTTATCTTCTTTTATTTTTATTTATTATCAATCACTTATTTCTCGAAATTTTTATTACTATTTGAAAAAGAAATTAACAGACTACAAATTGACATATTCAATTTTTTTGCTTGTAGCTAGTGAACCAGCTAATATTGCCTAGTATTATTTATTTATTGTTATATTATTTTTATTTTTATTTTTATTATTATTATTATTATTAATGTTAGATAATATATAAAGCAAGTAGCATTCCTAGTCATCATATAAATGATACTTTTTTCCAAGTAGAAAAGGCTAATAATCAAATAATTGTGTAAATATCCCAACTATATATTTTATTTTATTTTTGTATATTATATGGACAACTTGATTATCCACTTGTTACTGATCCAATAAGCTCATGGTGACATTGTCATTATCCACTTACAAATTTATTCTTCAAAGTATCTTTTGGAATATTCTGATAATTTTAATCGGAAATAATATTTAGCATTTATAACTAATCCTTTATATAAATGTCAATATAATCTTTAACGATTCTAAATACAAATAACATTTATTTAATTGTCGTTGAATATATGTATTGTCAACTAATATTTTTTTGTTGTAGTGCTTATGTTACATAATATGCTATTATAATCTTCTTAATATTATGAAGGTTTGTCCCAATCTTGACAATTTACCATTTTTGGAAAAGAGATAACAAACATAGCAAGGAAATTTCTTGAGATGATGGAATTTTGAAAAAGGGAAAGTGTTTACTCTTTTCTCATTTCATAAAAGTCCAAAATATATCCATCTTTTATATAAAATCATTCACTTTTTTGTTCAAATTTATCATAAAATATCATTTAATTGGTGTTAGTCTATTTTCCTTAGTAATTTGTTTATCTCTTATGTCAATTGGGTCCTCCACTTTTGATAAAATTTCTCTAGTTCACAAAAAAAAAATTTAAAAATTCAAAACTCATCAACTTTAAATACTGATTTCATGATTTGTTGAGAATAGAAATATTTTCGATAGGTAATATTCTATACCATAAGTAAGGTCAGGTAACATGAATTTAGAAGTTGAATTAATAAGTATCGAAGATTAAATGGTTAAACCAAAAAAAAAAGTTACAGATCGTCCTATTATTTTTGTGATACTTGCTTTTGGGATGAGAGTACTTTCAGGGAGCGTTTTGACCATGAATTTTTTTTTAAAAAAAATAGTTTTTATTTTCATAGTGAAAATAATATTTGAAAAACGGAGTTATATCTGTCAATATATATAAATTGAAATTGTTTTTAAAATTAATGAGCAATTTGAAGCAAAAGCAATTTTTTAGTGTTTTTTCAAATTACTAAAAAATTTAAAATTCAAACTTTTGACTTCAACATAGAATATAATCTCATGGGCTAAATTTTGCTTCTTTTTTTTTAGCAACTTTCACATATAACAAGCATAAACATTATATTTATATGATATAGCTATAGTTTACATAATTACACTCCATTATAAAATTTATTTTTGTTATAGAAGTTTTGATTTGTATAATTTGCTAGATACATTCAACTTTATACAAATTATTCAGTTTTGTATAAATTTATTTATACATTGTAATCTGTATAATAAGATATGTATTTGAATAATTATAAGTGTATATGACGAAAATATATGTATATATATTTATATTTGTATATACATTTTCTCTCGCTTTATACAAACACAAACACATTTTATACATTGTATATCGAATGAATAATTGTATACCAAAAATGACTAATTGTATATCAAATCAGATGGCAAAAAAATTTAATATTTGTTAGGAATTACAAATAGAATAACTATGATTATAACATTTATTTTGAATTAATAGTTTGTTATTTCATACAATTTTTTTTTATCAAAGAGATAAATCCATGATGTGTATTATTTATTTTGGTCCAACAAATTTTAAGGATTTATTTCTCAGGTTATTTCATCATCGAGTTTAAAAATATGTTTATCAAGTTAATTTTATTTATGTCTTTTCGATGTGAGATTTGTCTAAGATGTCATGTATACTTCTTCCTTCGTAAGCTTGTAGAAGAGGTCAGATTTCAGTATCATATTTATTATAATTCATATAGTATATTGTTTGTATCTTGGGACTATTACATCATCATTGAATCCCTCAGTATATGTATCATGTTAAATTTTTATTATGATTTGTATGTCACTTCACGTCTTTCTCTCTTTTCTATGTGACAGTTTCTAAGATATAAAGTGTAACGCTTCATAAAAGTTTATCGATTTTAAAAAAATCTATAACTAATACAAAGTAACGTTTTGATAATCTTGGGATGTTCATCAATCACTTGTTCTTTTATGTACTTATTTGCTACTTAGTAACAAAACTATTTAGTTACTAAAAATATATTTATTTGGTAATAAGGCAATTAAGCAAAAATTAAAACTAAAAATTGATAAATAAAATAGTATTAAGTGACTTCTTATATTATGACTCTCCTTACGTATGACTCTACAGATGCATTTTGTTATATATAATATGTATAGACATTTGAAATTTTATAAGATTCTGCAAAATGTATTTATTTTTAGTTTTGAATTTTACAAAACATGTTTAACTTCAGTTAAGTTCTTCTAGGCTTTTCAATTATAAACTCTATTTTATGCATATATTTAGGGTAATATATATATATTTCTCTTTAAAAGACATCTCGAATAGTGCATACTCAATATCTTATAAATTCTTTGGATATTTATAAACAACCTTTGAATTACGGAAGATAAAACAAATTTGTGTCCATTATTGTTTATCAATATGATTCTTTATATTTGAGATTGCAATTTACTTTCTGTAACTTTAACATTTGTTTTCGGTAGTTGGAATTTTTTTTAATAGAAGATAAAACTTTTTATACATAAAATGAATTTAAGAAAAACTATCACATTTTTGGAGATTTTAGACATTTTTAGAAAAGAAGTTATGAGTTGGTATTCATATTAGTGCAACATTTTAATCATTTTGCTGAAGTTAACTTCTCAAAATCAACATTTGGACTTTAAACTAACTTGATCTCGAAAATTTAAGAGAGCGTTCGTCCAAAAGCAACTGATCATTAAAAATTCGACTTCTATCATTCAAGATATTTAAAATTAATTTCTTTAAAATATTTGTTTGTCTCTCTAAATTAGATTTCAGGACAATTTTAAAATGATACATTAAAAGATCAATCAATCATCTCTCCAATATCATTATATCGAAAATAATTATTAAGTAACCAAAGTTATTATTTATGCAACAATTTAAAAAGATTTATTAACAAAGACAATGACAAAAATGATTAGGAGGCTTTTTGCCAATGACTTTGCAATGACCTCCCTTACAATTTTTCTTGCAAATATTATGGCATTTTGTATCATCTTTACTGCCTGGAACACAACGTCCAGTGTGATTATCCGTGCAACAATTTAATCCATCGATTTGAAGCAAACCTGAAAATTCAAATTTTATTATACGTATTTTTCATATCTATATCCGAAATCTTCTAAAATAAAGTAACATATAAATCTTTAGTTGGTAATATATATAATAAACCATTATACTAATTTTTAATATAAAAAAAAAAGATTTCTAGACAGAAAAAACAAACCTGATGAAGCTATCAACTTAACTAAGAGAATGGAAAATATCAAACTATTCAATTTACCCATTTTTTTTTTCTTTCAAATTATATTGTATTTGTTGTTGTTTATTAACTTAAAAAGATTCTATTTATATATAAAAAAAAATCCTTTAAGGGTTAAAAACACATTTATAGAAAAAAATAATGACTAACACAAAAATGGTAGTAAGATGATTTCATCTTTATAATTCATTTTTTACTTGGTAATAAAATCTTTAGTTACCAAAAAAAATAATATTAGCTCAACTTAGACCTTTAAGAAAAAATAAAAATTAAGTATTAAGAAAAGCAGTAAATGATTCTATTTAACTACATTCATTTTGTTATATGGTATGGAATCTCCTATTTTTTTAAAAAAAAAATAAAATATATATATATATATATATATATATATAAGTCAATTATATATAAAAGGAATAATATATATATATATATATATATAAGTCAATTATATATAAAAGGAATAAGATAAAGCATTATGATTTTTTTGGATATATAGATATTTTAGAGAAAGAAGTTAAGGGCTAGTATACATACTATTGTTGTGGATTTAAAGCCTTAAAATAAACTTTGATGTAGATTATTAATATATGAAAATTCTTATATTGAGGAGAATACATTTATGGTCTTAGATTCTTAGTCCAAGATTTTAATCACTTTGTCAAAATAGACTTTTCAAATCAAACATTTGACTTTTACATTAATCTATTATATATAACGATAGTGAATAATATTATGAAATATTTAAAAATAAAAGTTCACAAAAGTCTGTATTCTTTATTAAATTTTATGTCAAGTCAGATTGTGATGCATATAAGGAATATTTAATTTTATATGCTTTATGGTACCCTAATTTGTGTGTTTAGATTTTTTTTAAGGGATACCTAAGCAAACATTTATCTATCACTCCATGAATCACAAACTAAGATGAGAGGTCAGACTTCCGACTAAAAAGGAGGAAAGGTGTCGATGTTCAATAATAGTTGTTCATTATTGACTTGACACATGATTAGTAAGCAGTAAATTATAGGAATAATTTTATCAAATATAAATCAGTTAAACCTTGAAAAATGAATAGTATACAATAGTAAGGATAGAATTGACCCAAAATGATAAACGTTTATTGATTTTATACGTGGGACAAGTATTATTGGACATATTAAAATAGTATGGTGGAAAATTAAGAAAAAGTGGAGGTGGTCTCGTAGAAGGTGGTGGCTTTGGTGGTGGTTAAGTGGAGGTGTTGGTGATGAAAAATAAAGTTGAAATTTTGGACAAAAGAAATTGGGTTATATGATTAAGTGGGTTGGATCAGGTTAAAATTGGATAATTTTTAGTTGATTTGGAACTTTCCATCCAATTGAGGGGTAAAAATGATAAAATTAGTAACTATAAAGATAAAAATAACTTCATTTTAACTGTAAGGACATAGTAAACCAATAAAACAAAGTTGAAGAATAATTTTGACTGTTTTTCCTTCAATCACAAGTATTAGCTTTAAAGTTGTTGATTTTGGTCTTGAGATTTTATTCCAAGATGACTTTATATACTTTCCCCTCCCAATGTATGTTTTGATATTATGTTCGGATTTTTTATTTTGTGAGATTTTGACACATAGCTATATCAGAAGACTTTGTTGAATTTTAGGGATATATATATCTATAGCGGAGGAATATTCTTAAGAACGGTGTCTCTTGACATGCCTCAAGGTATAAAGAATTTCTTACAAGTGTTTGTTATGAAGTATTTTCGTAAGATTTACAATCGTTAGTGCTAGGTGTATCAGGCGACTCAAATTAAACTAAAAATATTAAAAGAAAAAATTACATAAATACTTATCTTATTTTGGTACAATCTCTAAAAAAAATTTACCATTCAAAAAAATTATAAAAATCTCCTCTCGGATACATCCCTATCCCCTCATGGATACGTCACCGTCTCCTCTAGGATACATCCTTATCCCCTCTCGAAAACATCCATGTCTCCTCTCAAATGCATCCATCCCCTCTCCGATGCATTCTTCTCATTAAGTAACGTATCATTCACAATCTGTGAGTTATGTATATGAGATTAGTATAAATTTAAGGAATTGTTGTAATTTGGAAAAGAATAGAGATAAAGATGTAATTAGATCTTAACACTAAGTGATTTATGTAATTTACAATGAGTTGAAAAAAAATCGAATTGGGTTATGACCCACCCAAATTTAATTTAGTAAAAGCTCAAATGGGCTAAATATTGGGTTGGGTCAGGATCCTACAAATTTGACCCGTTTAGTCTCGATAATGTTAACATATTGTTATTTAACTCGTATAACAATAATTTGAATTCTAATTCAAGAATATATATATATTTTTTAATAAATGAATAGATATTATAGATAGTAATTCATATATTTAATATGAGAACATACATTACAATAATTCAAATAAAAAGTCTTAAAACATGTTGAGATTGGAGATTAAATTGAGTTTAATTGAAGATTATTTTAAAATGAGTTATAAGATTTGAGTGGGTTGAGATTGACCTAATTCAAATTAGGAAAAATTGTGCATTATAGCAAAGTATTAATCAAAATAAATGCTATAGCTACAATTTCATTTAATTTTAATTCGTAGCAAACACATTGTCATTCTCGTCTTTGTCCCCTAAATCTCGCTCGTCACTCTCAATTCTCTTTCTCGCCCCTCTCACTTTTATACAAAACCCAAATGTATTAATTGTGTTTGTGTTTGTATAAAGCGAGAGAGACCATACAAATACAACTCTCTCCGTCATATACACTTATAATTATACTAATACAAATCTTCCTCGGTCCAGTTCTCTTTTGTCTTTCTCTCCTTCTCTCTCGCTTTATACAAATTTGTGTTTGTATAATGCGAGAGAGATTTGATATACAAATACAAATGTTTTAACTCGATTCAATTATATATTAACTCGGTTTAGTTGTATACAAGTTCAAACTTTATGCAAATATACAAATACAATCATTGATACATATACATCGCAGTTACATACACACAATTATCTAATCAATATACATATACAATTCACCTCTCTCCACCCTCTCCTCTCTCTCTTCTAATCTCGATCGCCAATCTAGCCTAACACAAAGAGCATATACATATACAAACACAATTTTCATAGATACAAATGTCCAATATATATATACATTATATCGCCGCGATTTATATAAATCACCGCGATTTGACACCCTGAATTAGTCGTGCAAATTCAAAGTCCTAGAGTCTTTTTATTCGATGTTTTTTATTAGAGAAGGCAAACGATCGATATCTAGTGTTGATTTAGTTTTGATGTTTTGGTAATTCTTTCATCAAGGAAAAAGAACATTGATGGTCTTAGTCCAAGATTTTTTAACCACTTTTGTTGGAATTGACTTGGAAATCAATTCTAAACTCAATAAGCAACCTCAAAACTGAATAATCTATGTATAAACTTGTATATATGTGGTGTATAGTAATGTATAAACTTGTATATATAAGATGTATAATCATTTGATTCTTTATAAATATAGCGTTAACATCTTCATAACACTTTCTCACTCAATAATCATTAATTTCTTAAATCGCAAGGTATAATCATTGAGTTTAAATCATATCTTTATTTTTTCTCAATCAAGGGCAACTGATACAGGTTTTGGCTACTTCCTCGACTTGCCTTCGTTCAACAAAAAAATGATAAAAATGTCACTCGATACAACAACCTTAAAATTCAATAGGAGTCAAATTAAAAGTGAAGTTATTAAATAATGTACGAAGCAATAATACTTTTTTTCGATTAGAATGGAGATTTTTTTTTTTTTATAAACTATCATTGATTCGTCATTAACCTTTTTTTTTTAAATTTGATTTTCAACCTTATCATTATTGTCATAAAAAAATTTCCCACGATATATAATAAGTTGAATACATTTTCATGTCCAAGAATCTTAGGGAAATATTCAAAATAGTCGACTAAATAAGTAAAAACAAAATTAGAATCCCACAAAAATGTCATCATCATTGAAAGCAAGTATAGTATAACTTCCAAATATTTTTTTGAAAAAAATTATTTTCTTATCAAATTTTATATTACTCTATATATATATATATATATATATATATATATATATATATATATTTTTAATAAAAAATATCTAGAAGCTTTGTGCAAGAGCCATAGAAATATGGGACTTTCCAAATAAAACCAAGGGAATAAAATGCTTATAAGTATCTCCAAAATTATTATTGAAATATCAGAAATATATTTTTATTAAATTAATGTAATTTCATATATATTTTTTTTATGTAGACTAGAGTCACAAACCGTTTAATGTAGACCAAAAAGTATATAAAGTTACAAATAAATGAATTTAACAAAATAATAGAACATTAATTTAATTAAAATATGTCTCTTTAATTTCGATAATTATCGCTAAAATCTGTGTGAAACATAGAATAATAATTGAGACGATCTTAGCCGTACACGTGTCAAGCTTGACTGTCGGCAAATGACAACCTTCATATTTAAGGAAAGTGGCGCTGTCTGTCCAAATCTTTAATAAACATTCATAAAGTAGCATGAATAATAATAATAATAATGATAATAATAATAATAATAATAATAATAATAGAAAAAAATACACTATATGTTTTTGTTTTCCATTAAAAAGAGCTCAAAAAAAATAATAATTTGAAGCATCAAACATTTTACGTTAATAAAATTTAAAAAAAAAACCATACTCAAAAGAATACATAGACAATTTTGTCTTAATACAATTATTAGCAGCAACTATTTTTTATCATTATTAAAAAATTTAGTATTTTTTCGTAACTCTCCCTATAAATTTAGAAATCATCTATAACCACACAAATTTTATTCAAATAAGGATTGATATTAAAATTATTTCATAGTTTATATTATTTGCCATATTCAAATTATTATTTTTATTTTATTATGATTATGCTTTAAAATAACTCTTTTGTTATTTATAACAACTTTATTCATTTTAAAAGACATTTTTTAAATCGATTTTTTTTAAAAAAACAC